GAACACAGATTAAATCATCTATATAAACCATCATGCCCGCATCAACAAGTCTCTACTCCTGAGGATGAGGGTGTACGTGAGGTATTAACTTTACAATAAAAATGTATAATACAAATAAACAGTCTCTTTTGAAACTTTATATTCCGACATACGTCGACTGTCTTAACCAATTATTTGTTTCCTATTTAAACGTGATATCATGAAATCTTCTCGGGAGTTTCTATTAAGCTGTATAGAATGAATGACGTCAACTTTACAAATTCATCTAAAATTTTTTCGATATTTGTATTTTTAAGATCAGTTAATATCTTGTGATGAATTACGATTAAAATTTAATTAAAAATATCGCCCAGAAACTGAACAGATTATCGATCACTATATTGAAACAAAATAAATGATTAGATCGTTTTTGTAATTTGAACTTTTTATTTAATTAAATCAAAGGTTTTCATCGTTCATATTTAGATGTTATCATTCCGGTTCGCTCACTCATATGCAATATTTGTTGATCTCGGTCTACAAGTGAAACAGTTCAGTTATGCAAAACAGTTTAGTAAAGCACTTTCGTCATTTAATAATCCATATCTAAAACGAATGATTTCTCTGACTATCGATCAAGCCCTTCGCGCATGTATTCATTTGAATGATTTCCAACGCACAAAACTGATTCATCAAGAATTATCCTCGTCGTTACTTAAAAATCAATTCGTTCGTTTATATAATAAAAGAATTCATTGAAAATATGCATTTCATTTTCCATTTTCTTTTCAATCATCAATCCGATATAACAACATCGAGAAAGAGAAGCTTTGAAAACGTTTGAATAGATGTTAATTGTACCAAATGTGTACACTTACAGTATCCTATTTAAACTTAGTGCACAATCATTCGATCGTCAAACATTGCAATTCGGAACAGCAATACGGAAAAGCATGTCTCAATCGATCATCAGAAAATTTCAATTGTTTCAAGTTCATTCTTACAATTACTTCTTCAACACGAACAAATTTCAACTTGCAAAGAATTATTTTTCCCAAATGGAGAAAAATAACATTACTTAGATAATAACGATGAAGAGTTGGAATATCTATCTGCTTGGTTCTTTCCTTTCAAGTTATCTTTTACATGAAATATCACAATAAACAATCGATCTCTTTCGTCCCATCGATAAATCCGATGAGATACTCACCACACTGTTCTTCAATCAGCTTTCAATACATTTTTCCAACATAAGGATATTTCCAAAGCTAAGACTCTTTATGAAAAAGTCGATTTTGTTTTCATATTAATCGATTGTTCAACAAATTCCAGCCAATTTACTTCATGATCATTGGATTCAAACTGTATTGATAGATATGTGAATGAGTTCGTACCGAATCGATGAAAGGAGATCACAAACTGAAGGTAAATCAGGTTCAGTCGATTTTCTATTGGGAAAAAATCTCATGATTAGTTCATACATATGCTTTGAATGGAGAGGCTAAAGAGGCAATTAAACTGTTTAATAATATTCCTCTAAACATGATTAATCATTGGATTTATGTTTGTGTATTGAATGCGTGTTCTCTTTCGGGTTTGATTGACGAAGGTGAAGAAATTTTTAATCGAATTTCCTGTGAACGAAGAACTGTACTAGTATGGTTACTATGAGAAACATGCATTTTCTTTCGTTGATATTGATTGAAACTATTTCGAAAATAGATTCACGGTTTGGTTCGTTTCGATCGCGCATAAGATTTAATTCTTGAATTTGAAACAAGTCACTCTCATTTGTAGTCTATGAATAATGAGAATTTCAAATGAACCCGTCAAAACTTTATCCAACGGAATTTGTTTAGTGACAATGTTATCTGATGCAAGAAATAGACGAAACGTTGACTTTGCTCTAAAAGTATTTGATTGTTTCCAATTATTATTTTCCAATGATAAAATTCTTCTCGCATCAGCAACTATTCTTTAAGCAAATACTTATGGATTAAGTGAAGATTTCGTTCGAACAGCAAATCTTCGGAAAAAAATGACCGAAATTGGATTGAAGAAACTGCCGGGACGATCATCGACAATCGTTGATGACGAAATTGTGGTAAAATTGATGAAAAAAATAAACATGTTAAGTTAATACCAAGAGTTATGTATTCTCAAGCATTTGTATGCAAATCATCGATCTCATCATCTTTCGGCTGAGATTCATCATCAATTAGATGGGTTAAAAGACGAACTTATTCAACATGGCTATCAGTTTGATCAATCTTGGATATCGAGACTCTTAATTCCTAATGAAACAAACCAATCCATGTTATGAACACACTCCGAGAGATTTGCTATTTCTTTTCATTTGAGTCAAAACTCCAAACCATCTTTCACTGAAATTGGAAACTATCTTCAAATATGTGGAGATTGTCGTAAGTTGTTGTTGTGATTTGATCTATTGATATTATATATACAGCTTTATTTAGATACAGAAAATGAATTGAGAATTAGAATTCATCGATGTTTCATTTGTTGTTTATTTGTATTGATCTTCTTGTTTATCAATAATCACACATAAATACGGACTGAAAGCGATTATATTGGAATCAAATTAACAGTGCTCGTTCTTCTGAACTGAATCAATAAAAACAAAGCAATCTGGTAAGTATCTCAGCGACGGATGTTCTCAATCAGGTTCCATGTATTGTAGTTTATTTCTTTTAGTCATTGAAATAATCAGAAATAAGGACCATCACGTTTCTGTGATGGCAAATGAATTTATTAGGTATACGACTAATTAAATGAATGAATGAATGACTGTTACAGGAAAAAATTCACATTGTAATTATCCTCCAAATACTAATAAATTTGTCAATCAAATGATGCCGTTGATGGTAGAGCTAGAAAAAGAAAGTGACATATATTCGAATAACACAACTGTTCGTTTCACTTACGAGGACGTCCGAGTGCTGATCGTACAATTTGATGCATGCATCGTTGAAATTCTTTGAGAATAGTCTGTTGAGTATCAAGGTCACTGGTTAGATTCATTTCACATTGTTGACCTGTGACTAAGAGACAAGTAGCCAATGCTTCAGTTACTTCCATATTGAAAACATTGTTTGGAATAGAACTACAACAAAGAAGAAGACTTCTGTGTCATTGAACTAACTGTAGCTTACGTCTCTGTTGGAGGTCCAGTCCGAGGTATTTGATCGAGTGGAGTCTGTGTCGTTGTTTTTGGTTGACCAGAGCGATAAAAACCGATATTCAGCGGATGTACTGATTGTTCCGTATTCTTACAACCAATACTAAATTTTAAAAAGTCAGTGGTCTGCTTTGGAATCTGCGTTTATATTTACCATTTACATAAATTTGTACAAGGTACTCTAGACTATGGAAGGAAATTTGTTAATGATTTGCATAGGAAAATAAAATTAACGTACTTCATAACATTCACAATATCGTTTATGGCAACTGGATTTTTTGCACTAGATAATAAACTTCATAACATCATGGGTTAGAGACTAAACAATTGTAACTTACATTACATCCCTTCAGAGGTCGATCGGGTTGAGCAGTTGTAGTGTTTGCTATTAATTTAAATAGAAAACATGATCGCATCGTAAGTGAAATATAAAGAGAAAATTACCAAATTTATACATTTTGGATTTAAAGGCGTTGGGATTACGTTCGAGAGTGGCATTGATTGCTTTTGTACGTTCTTCTTCATGTCGTGCGTCATTGTGACAGTTGAGACATGCACAATTTTGACAATTAAGTCCATTGGCAAAGCAATCACAATAACTAGTCGAGAAATGTTGTACATACTATTCTAGACGGTAAATACTTACAGTTTCAGACACATTGATTTCGTACAATTACATGGTTTTCGCTGGTATTGAACTGGTAGATGTTCTGTAGTTGATATTCTAAAAGGAGGTAACAGTTTTTTCGTCAGAATGTATCGGTCGAAGGATCTATGGAAGTCAACCTGATATTTGTATGGGATGGATCTGTAGGAAAGAGTATAGCATTTGTATGATTTTCTTTCTGAGCTAAATTTGGATCTGGCTGAACTTGTAACTAATGAAAAGAACAAATATCTTGAATGGGAATGGTATTGATGCAATTAAGTTACTGTAACAATTGGTTGAGTGATGACAAGATTACCACGTTGTTGAAGTAAAATTTGTTGACCAGATGTTTGTACTAGAGAAATCAGTGATCAGATAAGTTTTCTCGGTGGATTTTCTTCGTTTTACTTGTTGATATTTCATTCGAATTGATAATTGTTGATGGAGTGACAAGACGTAGCGTTGAGTGTGGCGATGATTGTGGAATTACTGTTGCAAGTGAGAGAGTATTTGATGTAGATGAAAATGTGATGTTAGAATTATTTATATCCGATGAATCAAGAGCAAGACGTTTATTTGGTTGATGAGATTCAAGATAATCATTCTAAAACGAAATAAAGTTACATAGTTAGATTCAATCTTATCAATATTCATACTGATTTTAAAACAATTGGTTGTCCATCACCACTTGCGGTTGTTAAAGCTTGTTGAATACTTTCTCGATACGGTTTGACAACAACACTTTTATATGGAGTTGAGACATTCGATTGTATCGTTTGCTGATGGAGTATTAACGGTGGACGTACAGTTGGATGTGTAGATATCGTTGGAACCGAAGTATTAGACGTTGGTGATGATGATGATGTTGGAAGGAGAACGATAGACGGTGGATTACCAGACATTAAAATACTCTTGATGAAATGATTAACACTGATTTCTATTCATTGATTAAAGAGCGAAATGAATTTCATATGTTATGTGATTGATCGAAACATTGTTCAAATAGATGACGATTACAGAGGTCAGCATACGTCAATGATGGACATCGGTTGGTTTGAATATCTATACAACTAAGTAACCGATTGTATAGTAACCGATACAAACATATGCAGAAGAATAAGAAGTTGGTTTATGCTTTCAATTTATTGAACAGTTGAAACAAAAATAGACAGTTCACGTGAATATAATCTGTGACTTTCTCTTCAAACACTCGAGAATTCCTGTCAGAAATGATAAACTTGGTTTGACAACATTTAAAGTAATATCTGCAACAGTTCGATCTGTCTTATTCATTGCATTCCATTGTTGTTCGATCGTTATAGCTTGTTTTAATAAACTTTTTATTTCTGGTATGCGAGTGACTTCGGCTTCATTCAATTTGATGGAATACTGCATTCTTGTCACGTTATACGTTTCTGAAACACAGTCTGAAAACGTCGGACGAACATCAATTGGAATTCGATCGATCATATCGTCTGTTCGAGAGATTAACACTTGCATTTTGTACACTTGAAAATGCAATTGATCGAGCAAGCGAAATATCTCCAGAAATAATGGATGCACATTGTTTGGAACAGTTTGTCGCTCAGCGATTGATAACATTGGCTGAAGAAGAAGAACGATAAAAAGGTATTCGAACATGTTCATTGACAAAGTGACGACAAAAGAATGAATGCGAAACGTATTATATAACGTTCACTTTTTCTTTTTCTATTTAATTCAATGTAACAAATTGTCTGTCATTGTGAGCATGAGCAGCTTATGTGTTATCAATTTATCGTCTAAGCAACTATAACGAACTTGTATGATCAAACTTTTATTTTGATTGGACATTAAAAATATTCAGAAGAAGGTCAATGTGGTTTCGAATTTATTTTTCGTTGCATTCTCTAAATTGCTGATGTATTGCTGAAGGTCAGGATGGTCTAATGGAAGAGATTTTTTAGCAATACTTATAGCACGTTGAAACTTTGATAGAGCTTTCTCGTGGTTACCCATGCCAGCGTATGCCTGACCAATATTGTTATAAGATACAGCCAGATCAGAATGATCGGAATCAAGCATCTTCTGTCGAATTGTAAGCGCTATCCTATGAGATGATAGTGCCTTTGTATGCTCGTTCATTTTGTCGTAGATCATACCCATGTTGTTATAACACCAAGCTAATTGGGACTGATTGGGGGTAGGTGAGTGTTGCAAAGTTTCGAGAACCATTTTAGTATATGACAGAGCTTTTTTGTAATCACCGATTTTATGATATACCATACCAATACTATCATAGGATATGGTTAAATCCAGATGGTTCGAAGGAAGTGAGTTTCGTCGAATTATGAGAGCTTTTTCGTGCCATAAGAGTGCTTCGGTATAATTATTCATGTTAAAGTGCACCATACCTATATTATTATAAGAAGCAGCTAAGTCAGGATGTGTGGCTGGAAGTGATTTTTCACGAATTGCTAGAGCCTTTTCATAATATGAAAGTGCCTTGGCAAAATCATTCATATGTTCGTACACTGCACCGATGTTATCATAAGACATGGCTAGGTGTGGATGATTGACCGAAAGCGCTTGTTAACAGATTGAAATAACTTTTTCATGAGATGAAAGTGCATTGTGGAAATCGCCCAGTAGATCGTATATTGTACCAATATTATTATAAGACATTGCCAAATCAGGATGATTGGGAGGAAGTGATTGCTGTCGGATTGCCAAAGCTCTCTGATGCGATGACAACGCTTGTGCTTGGTCACCTAGTTTATCATAGACTAGACCAAGATTGTTATAGCACATCGCTAAATGCGGATGATTGGATGGATATGCTTGGTGACAAATTGCCAGAGCTTTCTCATAAGATTCAAGTGCTTTGCCATACTCACACATGTTGTCATATACCATACCAATATTATTGTAGGACATTGCTAAATCGGGATGATCAGCGGAAAGCGATCGTTGTCGAATCGAAAGAGCTTTTTCATGGTATGAAAGCGCTTGCGAGTAATCAGCCAAAGCATCGTACACCATACCGATATCATTGTAATATAAAGCCAGATCAATGTGATCGGAAGAATGTAGTTTCAGAACGATGGCAACTGATTTTTCATAAAGTTCTATTGCTTTATGAAAATCTGCTTGTTCATATTTGATTGCCCCGAGTTGAAAATAAATGAACGCTTTGTCACTATCAGTACTTGCTTCTTCAGCGAGCACCTCATAAACTTCGCTAGCTCTGTCAAATTGACCCATCGTCTTCAATAATGAACCAAGTTTATACCGCCCCTCTGTGTTCGGACAAACTTCATTGCGAATGTATTCAGCAAGTATGTTCAGTTCTTTGTCATTATCATTAGTAGCTGTTAAATCAATCTGGTAGAGCCGATTGGTGTCATCCATTGGTGTAATTTCATGGACACGAAAGATACTGTGCATAGAAAATAAAGTCTCGTCTTCATTTTGGAAGTAGCTCAATTCGCGGATCGAAGCGAATGGCGTAGTTGATTGCGTCGGATCAATTGTGATAATGAAAAGAATTCCAACTAAGTCAGGATTGTTACTTGCCTGTCGAGCAAAATGAAGGGACACTTTTCGCGTTTTGCTTGTCGACAAGAAATTATTAAATGATAGCAAGCCACCTTTTGTTTCTATCAGTTGGTGGAAGTCGGTATGTGACAAACCTTGGCCACGGTAAACTGTAAAGGTTTGACTTGAAGTTTCGTCAAGATATTGTTTTTTATGCACCTGTAAAATCTGTCGATGAAGATCATTGATGAAAAAACCGATCCGTGTTAGGATATTTCCATCCATTGTTCGTAGTGCACGATTGAGCATAGGGTATAAAAAACCTTCACACGTATACCACCAAATGGGTGTGTACTCGTTGTAGTTCTTTTTTAATCGCTCGACATTCTCTAGTTCCTTCTCATTATCAGCGAACACATTGCTGCAATAATGAATAAATTCGTTGAAATGTTTCTTTTCGAAGTGAATAGTCAGTAGGATTTCTTTCAATATTTGAGTGTACATAAATGTTGGCTCAAGTTGATCTAATCTTTTGTTCAGCGTCACAAAGCTCATTGGAATAGCGTTGTGCTCAGACTCATGAGCTGCTCGTTTAAGCGCTTCACAAATAGATGTCAACTTAGTAAAGACGCCTTTCACTTTCGGCCATTTTTGTACCCAGCCTTCATGATACGTTATATTACCACAAAAGATGAAGATAGAGTCCACCTGCTGTTTATCGTGTATACGAGGTACAATGTGTTGTCCAAAGGAGCCGGAAATGATCATACAAATTTTATCATTCGTAATATTTTCAAGAAATTCCACACATTTCTTATCATCGACAAATATTTCGACATGGCCTATGGCATCCCGAAGTTGTTTCAGTACACTTTGAGAATCATCACTATTAGCGTCAATAGTCTTGTCTAGCCAAATCGAACAAACATTGCTAATTCTTGTTGGATCGTTATCACGTCGCTCTATGATCTTCTTGGCCATTATCTTCACAGAATGTTTATGATTTATAGAATGAATATAGGCAACTGTAATGTATGCAAGCGCAAACACTGTATTTATATTGGTGGTTATTTTTTATTTCTGTCCCACTGCCCTTGAATGCATATTATGACACATGAAGTCCCATAACAAAGCCAACGCTCGCACTTGTCGTCATTTAGAAACAACACGACAGATAGTTCTGGTCTATTTAGCACATAGTAGTAGATGAGAATTTGGCTTTGATTATGACACCATTCCTGCCATCAATGAAATACATACGTTCAGTCAATAAGAAACTATTCGCTGATAGAATTTCAAACAAGTTGTTTTATTACAAAGTTTTCACAACTTGAGAGATTAATCTTAGTTCTAAATCATTTACTTGAAATTTATTCGATAATCACTTCGAATGAAAAGAAATGTTTCAGTTCATTTCAATCTCCACAAGTGTATGTTACTAAGGAAAACCATTTCTCCCAAACTCCTCTTTATCGATGACAACACATAGCAGGCGAACACTGATTGGCGAACAAATCTTCCAACAGGATTCTGATTTAATTTCAACTGCATCGCTAGCTACTACCAGCTTACTGTATTGTAATCAAGTGTCCCTCTTTCCTCTAGAACAAACATATATATTTAAGAAGAAGTCAAATAAAACTGCTAGTCATACAAGTGCTATCTTTCACTTTCGCTCTATGTGAATTTATTTATGGATAAAATGTCAACTGATACATTTCCAACAAACGGATCCATGAATTCAACTGAAAAACGTGCTCTTAGTGAAACTATACCCAATACAAAACGTTCAGGTGGAAGCTATGGTAGTTTGTCTAAATCACAATTGCAACCAACATTTTATATTTGCCATCCAGTGGAAGTAGATGATACTCTACAGAGACTGGCGTTGAAATACAATGGGAATGTAAGATATTTTTCTAAACAGAACCAATCGACGTTTGTTTTTCTTCTTTCCAAGATCCAAGAAATCAAACGAATCAATAAACTCTGGTCTGATGCCGAATTGAGTCTTCTTGAAGATGTATATATTCCTGTGAATCCATCTCAGCTATCGACATTACGAGCATTGAATCCAAATTTAGAAATTGTGCAAAATATATCCCCAACAACGAACCGCGTACGAAGATTATCGGGAAATGCTAATATAAGCGATGATAGTACGTCATCTATTCGAACATCTGATAGTAATACTTCGATTCCGACGACAACAACAACTTCCTATCAAGATTTTTTCTCGAAAATTGACGAACAGCTAAGTACGTACAAGAAAACTTTACAAGGTACTGACGCCAGAAGTCGACAACTCTCGTAAGTTGAATGAAAATTCTTTCTCTTGTTTTTTTTTGTAGTAAAACTATGCATTTTCATTTCCATTTAAAGATCTCAGATATTAAATGACGATAAGCACTCGTCTACAGTCAACCGCTCCATTGTGCAACACAATGATCGACATAAAAGTAACCATTATACGACAGATGACCATGCAAGCAATGAAAACCAACGTGAAAAATACATATCCGCTGCATTGGAACGAATTCAACGAGAACAAGATGATTTCGATGGATTATAATTACGCGTAACGTCGACGAAATTGATTTTCTATGCATGTTGTTAGTCGTCTGCATTTGTACTTTCTTTCTTCTCAGTGTCGCACGAGCAATGTTAGCTTTATATACGATTAAAGTCAATTCCTACTCAGTTTTTCTATTTTGTTATTTGTAATTTTCCTTATCTTATCGATGTGCAATACCATAACACTTTCTTTTCTTGTAGTAAACCGTTTTAGATGTCAAAGAAAGGCCGAAAACAAATCTAGCCTACAGGGTTTGATAAAATATAAGCACAACAATTAATTGAAGTAATACACAACATTTGGACTCGAAAATGGCTGGACGCATTAGTCTTCAACAATATTTAGCCAAATCAGTGCCAGAACCAAACAAAAAGACGATGATAAACATCTTCAAAACATTGCAAGACCAGTGATGACATACAGACATTCAGTAATACTATCCAGGCCGATCATTCCGGTGACTGGCTCCGTTTACACCTGAGTCGGTTTGGGTATAATTCCAGGCGATTTCAGTCGAATTCAGCAGGTTTCGATTGGATTCGACAAAATCCGTGCCACCGAATTCCGATCGAAAGTTCACAGGAAATATCCAGCCACTTCCTCACCGTTTCCAGTTCACAGTTTGTAGGAAATGGTCAGGAAGTGACTGGAAACTTTGCTTGAACTTTCGGCCGGAAAACAAACTTAACCGGCCAGAACCGACCGGGCCACAATGACGCGGGTAACAGCGGATGACAAAGTATGGGATTGGCTTCAAATCATCCAAAACAAAACGATTCGCGCTACCCTCGACCTGTCGATCTATACCTCTGTCGAATAGGTACACCGGATTACCAAAATACCAAAAATTAAAGAATATGCAACATCACTGATTCACCAGTCTATTGATACCACCGCAACCAACCGAGACCAAATACGCCTCCAACACTTTCAAGACATTGCCCACCAACTATGACAAAACACCAACTCAAATGATATAGGATAGTCTGCGTCGTCACGCTTATTGACAGCAGATTCACGACAGATGACTACTGACGCCGACTACTCCTCGGACAACACATCACTCCCACAGACTACAAAGACAACCTCTAAGACTACCCGACTATCGTTCTATCTCCCCTTGCGAAGACAGTAAACGACTACACGTGACATGCATATCTTCGTTCTCTGGTCCCATCAGTTCGGCTCTATACATTAAAGGCAGCGTGAAATAACACTCTCCACTATTAACGTTAGCGTCGAAAACATAGACCATCGTAATGCTAGCCGAATCTGTACAAAAATTGTTCTATCGAGATCGCGTACAAAACGTTTGATCGAAAACGAAGAAAAGCCGATTATCGGCGTCTACATCGGCTCGTGCCTCCACATGTGTCGCTATTTTTTCGAAAAAAAACTACTATTGCGTTACCTTCCAACATCACACGTTCGATCCCACTCTACACCACACTTTTCTTTCCTTTCGCTACGAGACATAAGCCATGCGTCTCGTCTTTTTCTTCCAGCTTTATGACCAGTCTGTCCGTTGTTTGCTTTCGTCTTTCATTTCTATCGTTTCTTTATCTGTATTTTTCTTTTCGTGTGAACTGATCGCCTACTAACAAATAAAGCGTTGACTCCAAAAAAAAGTAATATACATATATATCTAATTATAGATCAAGAAATGCTTCGTTTACCGGGTCATTCAAGAACACTATATGGATTATGTAGATCATTTGTCAATCAAGCTAGTAAGAGACAGCAATCATTATCAACAAATGGATCCGCAGCGACATCAAAAGTGGCGATAGAGCCTAATACGTCGAAAATGTCAATCTTTAGCGGACATATTAAAGGTTCTATCACTAATACTTTGGAGTTCGTTCGTCCGGAAAACATCACACCTCTTCCAATTTATCAAGTTCTTGATTCCGATGGAGCTGTCAAGGATAAAAGTCATGAACCACATGTAAGAAACGAAACTCTTTATTTCAATACGATGTAGATTGTTTGAAAAAATTAGTTTACCGATGATCATTTGGTTAAAATGTATCATGATATGACGCTTCTCAACGTTTTGGATCGAATTTTATATGAATCCCAACGGCAAGGTCGTATCTCATTTTATATGACGAATTTTGGCGAAGAAGCTACGCATATTGGCAGTGCCGCTGCTTTGAACCCAAAAGATCTCGTCTACGGTCAATATCGTGAAGCCGGTATGATGATGACTCACAAACTATCCTTTTTTTTTCTTAAACAAGTCGTTTTGCTGTAGGTGTTCTCATGTATCGTGGTTTTAAATTACATGAATTTATCGATCAATGTTTTGGTAATGCTCGTGCATCTTGTAAAGGTGTCCAAATGCCCGTACATTACGGTTCCACTAATCTTAGTTTCGTAACGATCTCATCAACATTAGCAACACAAATGCCGCAAGCTGTTGGTAGTGCTTACGCATATAAAAGGTAGAACTGTCCTTCATGTCGAACATTTCGAGAATGTTTTGTCTTTTCCAGAGCACAAAATGGCCTTTGTGTCGTTTGCTATTTTGGTGAAGGTGCAGCAAGTGAGGGTGATGCCCATGCGGCTCTAAATTTTGCAGCTACCCTCGAAGCTCCTGTCATCTTCTTCTGGTCAGTTGATAGATTTTTGTTTCTAAACACTTCATTGCATTTTGTCTAGTCGTAACAACGGTTACGCCATATCAACAACTACGATTGATCAATATCGTGGTGACGGTATTGCTAGTCGAGGACCCGGTTATGGTATGGCAACAATCCGTGTGGACGGAAATGATCTATTCGGTGTTTATAATGTCACAAAAGCAGCAAGAGAATTAGCTTTAAGTGAAATGCGTCCAGTTTTGATTGAAGCAATGACACTAAGGTAGATATAGAAGAATTCGTTTTCATATCGACGTCTAAGTAATGACAATTGTAGAGTTGGTCACCATTCAACATCGGACGATAGTTCGGCTTATCGCTCAATTGATGAAGTACGCACACGAGATAAAAGAGATAATCCTATCGTTCGACTACGAAAATATATGACGAAACGTGGTTGCTGGGACGAAGAAAAGGAAGAAAAATGGACGAAAGATTCTCAAAAGATGGTTTGTGATATTATCTGCTAGTTTAACTGAGAGTAAAGTGCAACATTTTCGATTGTAGGTTATGGAAGCATTTGCTAATTGCGAAAAGTCGAAACGTGCTCCTGTTACAACAATGTTCGAAAATATATTCGATAAAGTTGAACCGCATTTACAACGGCAAATGAAAGAAATGAATGAACATATCCGTCAAAATCCTGATCATTTTCCATTAGCATTATACGAAAAATCTTCAACATAAGAACAGTATTCTCTTTTGTTTTTAATGTCTTCTCTTTTCTTTCCGGATCAACCATTTCATCGTTCTTGCTCATCTTGTATTTGTAAGAAGAATGAAATTTAATAGATCTCTTGTGTAAGAGTTGGTGATATTCAAACTAATGTTTTAATTAATCAAAGAAAGAACGTCTCTCGAAAGGTTCATCTAGACAATAGGAGATGAAAGTATGCAAATTTGATAATAACTATGTCATTTTTATCTTGTTTTCGACGTGTAATTCATATCCAGCGACACTTATCGTGTGTTCATAGCACTTTAATAGACAGAAATAGTGAAGAGTATTTTAGATAGATCTAAATGGATACATGGCGAGTAGAACGTGATCAATGTGTATATACCGCATGCTATTGGTAAAGGCAACTTTGATGTATATGAGTTCGCTTGAACCAATGTTTTTAGTGAAGAAAATATATGGAAATTATGTGAATCATGGAAACAAAATGATGCGAATCATTTAGCTACTCTCTATGCAGTGTTTATTTCGAATGAACGGCGGCAAATTCCCCTATGGGAACAAAAATCTTCCTCTCGTGATGATCGTCTGGCTATTTGGGTAAGTGACTAACATATTGATTTGGCTAGTACAGAAATATTGACTTTCGTAGGATTATCATGTCATCTTAGTCGATAAATCACCTTCGTCAACAATGATATATGATTTTGATACGACACTTCCATTTCCTATTTCCGTCAATGATTATCTGCAACTGGCTATTCGTGATGAAAGCAATCTCCTACGTAAATACCATCGGTATGATCAATCGTGGTTTGTATGGATTATTTTACTTTTTAATACTCTATTTAGTGAATTTCGAGTGATACCAGCTCAGCAGTATCTCGACACATTCGCATCAGATCGTTCACATATGCTCAAGGAAGATCAAGTAACATACAATGCACCACCGCCCACATATCCTCCAATATCTAATGAGAGTAGGAGCACGTTTTGATTGTGTATATTTTGTCAACTAGTGTCAAGCTCTTATAGGATCGACCAATAATATCAACGATTTCATTGATATGAAATCTATAAATGTACCAGGAACTGTGATGAATTTAACTGATTTTCGCCGATTTCTAGGAATTTAAGCTCATTCGCACAAAAATCTTGTTAATCTTTGAATAAAAGTTTTAAGACAATACAAAACTCTGTATAGGAACTCCCAAAGGAAATCAACGAAGAAGTGTCTTATAGCATCTTTCTTCATACAACCGAATCAAATGTATTTTCAGTTTAATTATAAAGAAATTAATCATCGGTGTATTGATAATTCGCAGGTAATTGAACATGATAATTCATATCATGAATAGCTGTGTAGAGTAACGGACGACGATCGGCTAAATAGGGCGTTGATGCGATGCTACTTAAATAATTTTTGGGAATTAAATCAGCCACAATCAGTGGATCATTTTCTACTCGACATAATTCATCACCATCAGGTCCGATAATACGCGATAGACCATAGAAATCCGGTAACGCTAAATTAGCATAAGCAATCCAAACGTGATTTTCTAGAGCACGTGTTGGTATCATGTGACATGCGATATTTTTATTTCTTGGCGACGAAGACAAAGCTGTAGATATGATTAAAAGTTGAGCACCGCGAAGACTCAGAGAACGTGCAACTTCACACATTTCGGAATCATAACATATCATTATGCCAACTCGCACGCCACGAAGTTCAACAACAGAAGAAAGCTCGTTTCCTTCTTCGAAAACTTCACGTTCTTTGCTCGACCATAGATGTGTTTTTCGATAATTAAGTAAGATCTTGCCATCTTCATCGATCAATATTGCAGTATTATATATTTTCTCATCATTATCTAATTCAGGATATCCGATTTGAAGCGCGATGGAATATTGACGTGCTACTTGCTGAAGGCGGCCGATGACACCGTTTTCGACGATATATCGTGCAGCAGATAACATTATATCCCGATTTAATATGTAACCCGAAAGAAATAATTCGGGAAATACCAGTAAATGAGTCGAATACTCTTTACTGGCACGTTTTGCTTGCAATTCAACTTGTTCAACAATTGATGACACGTTCCCATCGGTTGATGATGTGCCTTCAAAAACTGCAACACGAAGTAGTGAGCCTTCAGCATGGTCTTTCACCCACCAATATGATGACATGTCTTTGTTATCTATTTACGCGAATCCAACAATAAATAAAGCAAAAACTAACACATGCTGCTGTTCTCCTGATACATCATCAATAGAAAGAAAAAAGTCACGATTGGTTAAAACAAAGTACTAATCTATTTCAAACGATAAGAAAAATCTAATACAAGTGTACTGCTGGAATAAGTTTATTAAGAAAAGTCTATATAACAGTCAAATTACAATACGACGTGAGTGACGTGAGACAAGTCAATTTTGATCAAAAGTATAAAAATACGATTTAGTCGGCAACATGTTTAGCATGATGAAGTTCAGCTTTCGCATGATGTTCTGCTGCTTTGCAGGCAGCTTTATCTGCATCAAATTGAGCATCCAAACGTTCGCTTGGCTTCACGCTTGGATCATTAGCCTTTTCTTGTTTCTTTTCGGCTGTTTTGTGATCCATAGCTTCTTTAGCTTTTTCAATACCAGCTTTGACTGCGTCCATGATTTCTCTTCAAATAAATTAGGTACAAAAGTTTGTGATTTGATTTTGAAATGAAATGTACTCACTGACACTGTAATGTAAAGAGAGTTTATACTTGTAGTTCACTGAAAAAATGAAGAGAAATCTAGAAAAATGAGCGTTATATATACTTTTCTTTTATCTATTCTCTATAAACGAGTCGCCGGGTCCGCAGAAGAATAGAAAAAAATGGAAGGGGGGTAACACAGTATACTCGCAAGAGAATGCAAAGGACGTTGTAGCAGCTGCAAAGTTACAATTGCACTGAGTTAACGGAGGAAAGAAGAAGTACTGACGTTGCCAAGCCCTCGTCAGTATTCGACGTAAAGAGAAAGAACGTTCCAGATTCAAAGCTTATTCTTTCCTAGTCATCCTCTTTGGTTTACTTTGAGAAGAAGAATTTAACACGGATCTTCTTCTTCATCATCATCTTTTAAAAACGAAAGTATCAAGTATAGTAAAGTGATGCCAGTTTATATAATACTTCTCTTTTTCTGTTTGGCATCGTTCGATAAGAACACAATCGAACATAAAAGAAAGGATCGAAATTATTACACAGAGGAGCATTTCATTTTGAAGTATTGAGATAATATCGAACATTCGTGCTCTATACGTAACCTAAATCGAATTTAATGATCATGTTTTGGTATTTATGTCTATAGTAATGACACTTTCATTCAACTGACGAAATGTTTTGATTCTTTTCTGGCATTAATTAATCATCGAACTCAAATATTGCATTCGTAGTAATTCATTCTAAGTCAAAGAATGTTCAAACTGATTAAAAAACGCTGTTGTACGCCATACGCAGCGTGTGATTACCATTGTCTTGACAGCAAGAACAATGTCACAAAATCTGTTCAATGATCATCAACACGATGTGAACAGTGATTGTTCGTGCAAAACGAAATACTGAGCGAAAAAATGTGGAACGAAGATATACATATCCGCAGTCAAACTTTCATAACGGTGCTTGGATATGAACTGCGATTTAATGCTATATTTTCTCTCATCTTTCGAAGTTTATTGAGACATTTATCACAAGGAATTCAAACATGATTATCTGACAGACAGGAAAAAATAGAGGTCAATGTTTTATTTTGTGAATTAATGCGAAATGCCATTGCCATTAGCAATGTGTGAGAATCCGCCACTACTGCCGAAGCCATTTGAGCCACGAACAGTATCATCAAGTTTCTACAAACATCAGAATCTGTGTATAGGAGAGCTTGAAATGTAAATCAACGAACCTGTTCTTCGGTTAGATCAGCCATTTCAATCTTTTCGCAAATCAATTGAGCAATACGATCGCCCTTTTTAACTAGAATGAGATGAAGATATTCATGGTAATGAATTATAGAAAAGTAGTTTTTGTTGTACTAGTGAATTCAGAATCATTGTGATTGAAGAGAACAATGCCAACATTGCCTCGATAGTCAGCATCAATAACACCAGCTAAATGGGAAAATATCAATGGTGAATCAATGTTTGGATCGTTTCAATCCTACCTCCGGTATCAATGCCGAATTTTGCAGCTAAACCAGATCGTGGAGCTAAAAGAATAATCATTTTTTTCGCTGTATACTTCAACGAATCGTTGTCTAATACTCACCAACTCGACCATAACAACCTTCTGGTACGGCAATTTGAATGTCCGTTAAGGCTGTCAGTTTGCCACGTGCTGGTAATACATAATCATAAGCACTAGAAAACAATGGGTATAAATTGAGGTGCAAGCATGTATTTGTCAAACCTTCGAAGATCCCAGCCAGCTGCATAGGCTGAACCTTTCATTGGTGGATAGGCATTTTCGCTAAGCTTAGCAAAGCGTAAGACGGATTTTGTTGGCGACATTCGATATCTTAAATGAAGAATAGAATGGGACTTATTTAATTCATTCTCGTCAAAATCGAATAGTCGTGTTAAGAACATTCTCTATTCTCTATGTACATAATCTGGTCTGAATAAGTGAAGAACAGAATGCCTATATATGCATCGGTTCTTTGTTTTCCTCGTCGAGATAAACAATAATCACGAAGAAGAAAGAGAAGAATCGTCTCTAAGGTTTGCAGTAAATTTTTAATTGTAGAATTTTTCATATAAATGGTATTCAATACAAAAAAATAGATTTCTATTATAAAATATAACGCCAGCCAACATGTTTATCACCTAAGTCTAGAATCTCTACCTCCGTCATATGTTCATAACCCCATCGTCGACGATCTTCTTCACTTCCAATTCCACAGACATCAGTCACTGCCTGCTTTCCATTAGTTGCGACTAGATTAGTTTTACTATCCACATTGGATACTAAACCAAACAGACGATCGCGACGACGATTTTCTAATCGAAGGCCGATAAACAAGATCACAGCGGTAACCAAACCCAATACACAAAATCCGAGATTAATACTGTGACCAAGAACAAATCGCGGAGCATCTTGCGATCGATAGATTTGACCACTAATTGCACCACCACTATTCCCAACCGAAATCATAAATGCCAGCGCAGTTGCTCGTTTTGTATGCGGACTAATATTTCCAGATAAAAATGTGATACAGGTTGCTATACACGGTGATATTCCACCTGCAGTGAGAAATATGGCAAAATACTTGACATGTAAGTTGTCAGCAACGATAAGAATGATGAAGCCAATGATGGTGATCATTAGCCAAAAGACAATGAATATCGTACGTCGGGTATATCGATCTGAGAAATATGCTGTCGCCATTGTAGTGATGAACGAGAATGCATAAGGTGGAGCAGTCATCAACTGTGCTTGATAACTCTGGAATCCGAGACTTTGAATAATTGTCGGAGAAAAGAACGAAAGCGAATAAAATGGTTCCACGATGCCAATGTAACACAGACAAAAGACATAGATTTTCCAATCGGTAAATGCTGCTTTGACTTGTTTCCAACTGAAATGTTCACCAGCACCGGGACCAGCATCGGTCTGAAGACGTGCAATGATTTGATTGCATTCTTCCTCGGTTAAAAATTTCGGTCGATCAGACGGAAAATCGTTGATAAGAAAGAAGGCTAATGCACCAACGATAACAGTTAGAATACCTTCGAGATAAAAAATCCATCGCCAGCCTTCTTGTCCTCCGATGCCTCTCATTTTACCAATAGCAAAAGCAAGAATACCGCCGAACGCACCAGCTAGTGCAGCAGCCGAAAACAAAATACTTATACGCCATGATAATTCTCTTCTTTTGTACCAACTGGACAGATAAAAAGCCGCACCTAAACGTACATTTCGATATCTATTAGAAACTACTTCTTACTTTACCTGGAAAAAGACCCGATTCGGCTGCGCCTAACAATAATCGACACACAATTAAACTTGCATATGAGTTTATCAAACCCATTAGTGTCATAACGATGCCCCATGAAATCATTATCATCGGAATCCATCGACTTGGCCGTAATTTTTTCAAAACAAGATTCGACGGAATTTCAAATAGAACATATGTGGCAAAGAAAACACTCAAACAGGTATTGTACTGAGCACTTGTCAGTTTGATTGTTTCCATCAGACCATCGATCTTGGCTTGACCAATGTTGACACGATCCAGATAGCTCAAGAGGTAAAGCACTGTCATTGTAGGAATGAGATGAAGGTCAAGTTTACGAAGAAGTTTCCCGTCGTCTAAGTCAGAATTCGGTTGATATTCAACGTTATTCTTTGTCGAAGACTTGTCTTTCGAGGGCGTTGTCTCGATAACATGAAGCTTAATGTCATTTTGATCATTGTCTAAACCAGTCATCGGATGAAAACTGTTTAAACGAACTGATAGTAGTGTAGACATATATAAACTAGGTCATGGATGACTTGTTATAGATAAAAAGTAGGATATGAAATAGTTACGCTCACACATTAGAACGTCGGTATAAGTGTTTTCGTTCGTTTTCTTCAGTCCAACTATATAAAATGTTGTTATATAGAAATCAATTCTATGTACCTTGCAGCTGTATAATTTTCTTATCGTCAATCACGTTCGAGAGGCAATTCTAATACACTATGTCGATGGTGTTTACTCTACTTTTCACATGCAGATGTAGTTGAAGTTCTAAACGTTATACCCTAGTTTTATTTTTTATTTTAAAAGACAATTCATATAATACGTTTGAAATTTGAATGTAAAAGTATTCACAAGTTCACAAAGGTGAAACATATTTTACAGATCGATCTGGGCAAATCCAGTTGACATTGCTACTTGTTGTTCCACATGACCTGCCATTTGTGGTAACGGCTGAGTTGATAATGAGAATGGTACTGGACAGAACTTTTTCAACAATTCTGCTAGATCTAAGCGATTTATTCGTGTCAAACGTTCGATTAAATAATCCACATTGCCAGTTGTAATTTTTCGCCGATCGAACAATGCTTCCCACACCTCGGTCATTGGCGATGCGTTGTCTTTTATAACTGTGTCAAGAATCCGACGTGGAACGTCTTCACAACCGACAAGAAAACATAGATCCCGTCGTTCGTCATTGGATAATTGCTGATCGATATGCAATAAAAGTGTACGTAACGGGTAATTAGCTCGATCCATCTAAAAAAGAAGAAAGAATAATGAAAGAGCGAATCAATGAATGAACAAACGAATCTGAGCACGAAATAAATGAAAGTAAGAAAACTAAACACAAAGAAAAACATGGATTAATCACTGAATATTGGGCACATCTGATTCTTGATTACGAAAGTGTAAATTAAATAGGGATTTAAACATTTCAAGTTCATCTTTTTGTTCATTATTACTTGTCGATTGAGCTAAAGCACTAATAGTTGTTGTACGTTGAAAATATTCTTCAAAGAATGTATAAACAGTATAAAAAAGAATCTTCTGATTGGATGTCGTCGACGACAGAAGTTCATCGGATTTAATTGCCGCTTCTAAAAGTTTACGTGCTAATGTTCGAGTGATCGGCAGATGATCGATGCAGAAATGCAGAGCTTCGATGATAAAATTATGGCCAAGGAGAATCTCGACTATTTCTTCATTAGCATTCGTCAAACGTTTAAGCATATCAAGTGCTAGTTGCGTTGTTGGCTGTTGAGTGTTCGAGAGCGATAGAAGCAGACAAGCTACAAAGACAAGTGGAAATAGATTAAAGACCAATCGAAGCGAATGGATGGAAAATACCAAAGATAAGGAATATGAATCATTTGTTTACAACGAATGATGATTAAAATAGTTTTGTTCTGTTCTTAGTGGATGATTATCAATTAGAAAGAGTAAACAGGTTCTTACCGAGTTGCAAGGAATCAGTCAACACTTGATATTGAATTAACTGTTGTAGCTGAAAAAATTGATTATTTCTTACTAATAAATTAACCAATAATTCGTAGATAAAATATTGAACCGAGATATTATAATCATTTAACGAACGAATGTACTCAATGACAACACTGATAGCGAATTTTAACGAATGATTTTGATCATGTTCGTCTAATGTTGTATCATTCGAGGTGATCGATAATGAACGATGGTATTTTGTCGAACTACCTGTCGCTGATATGGACGCGATAGTAGAAAATAGTGAAAGAACGGAAAATATGTCTGATTGATCTAGTAGAGGACGATTAGGAGAGTTTTCGATAAAAACACGATTGATATGGTCAATCATTTCAATCCACAAATCTAAGACATGACTCGAGCTTATGTTCGAAACATTATTCGAGTCAATTTGAACAGGTGCAGTGACATTTGTTAGTAATGTTCGCAATAAAGTCAAGATAGATGCTTTACCACTTGTTCGTCGTAATAAAATATCGATCAAAAGTAGTCGATCAGGTATATTATCTAGTAAATAATCCAGATTGGTTAATAAGTACCACAAACAACCCATTTTGACATCAATGATGACATTAGGTAAGAACACAATCCAGTTAGATGAATATAGTTCAATAGTTGCTGGTGCGGTTGACATCGTCGAGGAAAGTAATTGCCAATTAACATTTACCGGTTGAATTAATAGTTGCGAAAGTAAAGGTTCGTGTAAAGTTTGAAATCCATCATATTGTGACGTTGATTTATCTTCAATGTCATAAATATAGCATGAAGTTGTCGGTTGATGATGAATCAAGATTAGATTATCTACAACGTTTAATGCACATCTACCATGTAGGTTCAAGCGTAGAATATGACGTTTTTGAGCAGGTTTATGATCATCTTCGATCTGGTAGAGAACGACCTCAATCGATCCTTGTCCTAGAGGAGAAAAAGTTGAGATTCGTGAAGAAAAGGTTGAGCTTAACACGAACCAGCAACTCGAAACAATTGTCGAACAATGAAAAGATATGATTTGCCATAGATATTTGCTAACATACAATCTCGTTCTGTCAATTCATTGCATCGTTTACTTGTTGATTGATTCGTTGCACTGGATGCCGTAGAATTCGAACGTAGGTTTGTCACTTGAGGTAAATCAACTTCAAATTTCGGTAGTTTAACTAATTGCTGTTGCTGTGTCTTATGGAATGAAAATGGAATCAATGAATTGCCTGATGGTGTACCAGCTGATATCAATAAAAGATTCATTTCGCGTGAAAACAACTGCCAATGAATATTGCTAAGTTCATGCGTTTTCAATTGTCGCAAAGTTCGTTGTTTTGCACTTAAGATGTAATGTTCCAGTGAAAGATCAGTCACAAAGACAATTTCTTTATCAGATAACCAATTGAAATCGTATAGTTTACTTGCTTTTGTTTTCGATAATTGCGAATACTCGATCGTGTCAGGTTGAAGAATAGTTGCTGTAGTTGCCATTGATGACGAGGGTGAACGAGGTGATGTGGGCACTGACGGAATCGATGGAAAATTGAGAAATTCTACTGAATTGGAATTACGTTTTATCGCTAAGACCGAAAGATCAGGATTGAATTTAATCGATTGAATCGCACCTTTATCTTCAAGACGAAATGAATATGCTTGTTCATGACGTTGACCTTTCACAGTCACACCTAAAACGAACAAGAACAAACATGTTATTTTTATTCTTCAACAAAATATGTTTCATTTTATAGTTTAGATAGTAGAATTCTATCTTACAACAATTTCATCATCGTTCGAATAAACTGGTTTGATATTCATGAACCAGATTTCTTCGGACACTTGTTCAATAGTAGTTTTAGGTAGTGAAGTTTTCTTCTGTTTATCGCGTTTTGATGATCGGATGAGTTTTTCGTTGATGATAGGAATCTCGGTTCGATCAAATGTCGTAAAGACTTGTTCATGAAAGGCATTGGTATAATGTTCGAATAATGGTAAGGATAGTTCAATTGAAAAACTTGTGCTTTGATAAATGTAGTAGTATTTATTCTCGTCAAATTGAACTTCGTTGGAGAATCTCTCCAGACTATTTCCGAATATCACAATTTCTTTCAATTTCTCTTTCGTCCAGTTTGAGTAGAGAAGGTTATTGTGAATTGGCTTGGAACAAAACGGTATGTAGAACAAGGACGGTCGAACGATGGTTTGAAAAGCTTGATTATTCTCTCGAATAAGCTCGTACTTAGAGCATTGGTTTGTCTTCTCGAGAAAAGTGTATTCATCGTTGGTCCAAATCGGATCATACAGGTAAATAATCTGAATTCGATCTTCGAAACGTTCTTCGATCACTTTCAGTAGCGCGTATTGATATTGTGAGGAGAGAGATTGATTGATATGACCAAGACCGTAACATAAAATATCAATCGATGTCGATTGACGATAGATCCACTGCTGAAGGCGTTCTTGGAATTGTGACCAGAAATAACTCGATCGAATCAATTGAATTTTATTTTCGAGATTTTTAAGTAATTGCTCCGGATCGAAAATGGATGATTCGATTGGAGGATTGACAGGTATCGTGCGACGATTTTGTTTTTTACGTCGAGTAAAACGAAAACTATCGGTATTTTCTTCTTGTTCATACGACATGTGTTATCTGAAAAAGAATCAGTGGAAAATGTATTGTCAGTTATGCTTACCCATTGCACCAGAACCGCGAACGCAAAACAACTGTTGATTATCTTTGTCATAGAACACACTGGTGCCATTACTGATCGGCTCGAAAATAATTGGTTGAGTTGATAGTTTCAGAAAGTAGCTCGATTGATTATTCAACATCTGGAAAGTGAAAAATTGACTGAATTTTTGTTTGTCACACAACAAAAAGAGGAAAAATGCGGAGTTTATTTTGAGGAAAGAGAAAAACGAGTTGCTCTCGAGTTAATCACGAATTAATTCAGCAATCATTCCGTAAAGATAGTAGAAAAACGTAATCACATAAAAACCAAGTTTGATCCAGCCTTCACGTTGAAGAGAATTCAATGCTTGAGCGTTCATTATACTTGTAGGGTCATAAATACCAAATCCACTCATGACTGGACGGTTGCGAAATTTATTGATATGAAAAGCGATCAATGGCATATTGAGAAAGAGTGTAAACCATTGACCACCGAGTAGAAATAGTAAATTAATGAATGCGTGCGTCGCGTATTCCGGTATAATCAACGGATTCAAAGATTTGCATTGTTCAATCGGATTTTTGTGATCATTTTTTAATTCATCGAATGCAATAATCTATGACAGTAAGTGAAGATGTGTAGAGAATAGGAGAAAATAATGGGATAGCTTACGTGCCATATGGCGAAAAAGATAAGTAATGCTGTAAGAATGAGTGCAGCAAGGTAGGCAAAAGCTACAAATGTAAATGACATATTGGATTCGAAGAGAATGGAATGAAGCTTGTTCGCTTGGCTTGGACTATTGAGTTTAGGTTGAGTATAATAGAAAACAGAAAGCAGAAGCTGCTGTAAATGAATAGGAATGATACGATTGGTCGGCTTCCAACCAATCAAATTCTGAGCGCTGTGATTCATGTCAATACGTTTGTTTTCATCATCTCCCTTTTGATTTGTTGATTCTCCTCGTTGACAAACTGATATGTCGTGAATATTACTGATTGGGCATTTTCACTGCATGTTATTTTTTACTTGTCTTGTTGGTAGTCTGACAGATTGTGAATCAGAATTCTAGTGACACGTCGCTCAACTTTTAGTATATAACAGAAAATAAGTTATTCTTTCGCTATCTTCAGATATCTATGGCTTTGAAAATCTCTTTGACACTTCTTGTAACATTCGTCTGCTTTTATAATGTAAATATCGTTTCAACTAATGAAGAATGTCAATTATCGCGACAAAATGATATGGTCGATGATTGTAATTGTCGTATATCTGATATTAACAATTTAAATAATCAACATTTATATCCATTATTACGACAGATAGTTAAACAAAATTATTTTCGATTCTTTCCAGTTAATTTAAAAAAGCCATGTCAATTTTGGTCAGACCATGGCCAATGTTCACTACGAACGTGTGCAATCAAATCATGTCCCATCGAAAAATTACCTGAAAATCTCCGTGAAACATTCAATAGTAACAAACTCAGTCGTTCGAGTATGAGCAAACAAGACAAGCAAAAACAACAAGAACAATGTCCACCGAATGACAACAATGCTTCACTGGGTTTGGTTAATAAAGATTTAAGTGAGGAACATATGCAAACAATTGAAAAGTGGAAACAATTTGATGATATTCAATCGGAGAACTTCTGCGATGTTGATGATGAAACAAGATCGGATATGGAATACATTGATTTATCACTCAATATCGAACGTTTCACAGGTTATTCAGGTGTATCAACCCAACGAATATGGTCGGCAATTTACAATGAAAACTGCTTCTTTCTCCCTGAATCAAAACTTTATTACAATCTAAGACAAAAGCGTTTAAATGCAGATAAATTATGTCTTGAAGGTCGAACATTTTATCGTCTTATCTCTGGTCTTCATTCGAGCATCAGCATACATTTATGTGCCCAATACTTTTTTCCCAGTGTTGGCGGTGGCTATTCGGGCTCAGATGGACGATGGGGACCAAATCTTGACGAATTTCGACGTCGTTTTGATCCGGAAACAACTGATGGCGAAGGACCAGGATGGCTGAAAAATCTCTACTTTATCTATTTGATTGAGTTACGCGCGATTTACAAAGCACGAGATTATTTCCATAGTCAAAATTATTTTACCGGAAACCAAACCGATGATATTCATACAAAGCAGTTGTTAACCGAAAATTTATTTCAACAAATTCAGCCATTTGCGAATTATTTCAACGAGAATGATCTTTTCAAGAATGGAAATGAAGAGTTAAAGGCTGATTTTCGTGAACACTTTCGAAATATCAGTCGAATTATGGATTGTGTCGGGTGTGATAAATGTAAATTATGGGGTAAATTACAAGTACAAGCTTTAGGTAACGGAGGAAACTAATTTGTCCAATAGGAAATCACTTTCATTTGTGTTTTTTTTTAGGAACATCATTGAAAATTCTTTTTGCGGAAAGTCCCATTCAATTGCAAAGATCGGAAATCGTTGCATTAATCAATGGCTTTACTCAGTTATCAACCAGTATCTATCGACTAGAACATTCATTCAAAACATGTCTGAGAAATCATATTGAACTCTAACACAAAGAAGGGAATTTGCTCTCTTCTCTGTTCTTCTACTCTCTGCTGTGGTGATCGACTCAATGTGTAACTGCTTGCTTTTGCGTTCTGCCTTCCTAGTCAGTCAAAAAATGCCAAAACTTATGGTGATTGCAATCAAAATAAAAATCATATTTATCTTTCTGAAGTACTCGTTGTATTAGCATTCCGACGTTCTATTTTATTTCTTTTGTTGTTCGCTGTTTCTATTCTCGTTGTTATCATTCAAAAAAAAACTCAACTTCAAAATTCTGTATTCGATTTTAGCTTTCAGCGGACAAGAATACTCATTCTGGCTTCTGTTCTAGATTATCAATGGCCAGTGCACTTGCAACTTCGGATACTCCAGTACATTCGAGTAATCTTGCCAATTTCAATCCATGTCAGCATACATTTGTTGCAACAAGAACTAAACAAGAGCATCATGATCAGAATTCCCAACGAGAAATTGTTCCGCGTGTATGTCGCCTACGAGCACGTGATAATAGCATGGCAATATACGCTCTTGTTGATCCGATTGATACAAATAGACTTGCATCCGACGTGAGTGTTAATCTGCTTGTTGAACAATTGAGTGAAGTTTCGTTCGATGATGAATCTTATAAAGAAAAGATTAATGATATAATGCAAAAAATTTTTTATGAAATCGAGAATCGCCTTTTACAAATGACATTCGATCAAGCCGAAGAGAAAATTTCAACAACGCCTTCGAGTGGAAGTGAACCTGAAAAACTTTTACCTTCGTTGGATGAAGCAGAATCAGGAGCATTTTTATTCGCTGCTACGGTTACACAATCATATGTTTATATCGGTTATGTTGGTAGGATACATTTTATTTTTCTTCTCAGCTGACTCGATTTCAAATTGTTCTCGTAGGAACAATTCGAGCTTTTCTTGTCTCAAACAACAATGGAGAATTAAGTATTTCGAACAGTCGACCACAATACTATCACAAAGGTTCATTACATACGATTGATAATGATGATGAATGCCGTCGATTGAAGAATCTCGATGTGGATTTAGAAAAGATAAAAAATGAAGGCTTGGATAGGAAATCATCGAAATTCACACGTTGTGTTGGGTAAGTTGATACGTTTCTTCATGCATTTTCACTGCTTGTTTCCAGGAAGTTATCGGAAAAACTACTTTCATCTGCTGCATCAGCAAACGATGTGAACGAAGCTCGCTGTAATCCATTAATATGTGAGCCCACTGTTTATAAATTCAAAATTTTTCCCGGAGATTATGCATTGGTGCTAATGACGGATAAACTCTATCAAATGTACTTGAAAACAAGTATGTACAATATGTTCATGTTCATTTCCCATCAAATTTCTCATTTAAGGTATTTCGGAACAAGACATTCCGTCGGATTTTCTCGATCTACTACGCGATTCGTTGAACTCTCCTGATTGCGCCGAACATATTCTGAGTAAAATTGAAAAACGATATCACGCGCAAAACAATCCCACACACGATGATATTGATATACAAGACATGGGTCTATTAATTCACTTTTTTCTTCAACCGAAAACAACGAATGTTCAATCGTCTATGCAAACGATGCAAAATCACAGTCGTCGTATTTGCAATGGTGAAGTGACTGTTGATGAAGTGAGAAAATTCATCAATAAACACAAAGAAATGCAAGAAAGACGAGAAAAAGATCGTTCTACATCGCGAAATTTCGGACATATACGGGAAAACCAAAAACATAATAATACGATTGAACCATTTGTTCGATTCGATACTTATGAAAAACTATTGAATGATAATGATGATTTACGTCAAGCAAATGCTTTAATCACTGAACTTCTTTACACTCAATCTACATCAATGCTCGAAGAGAAGTTGGATGACTTTCTTAAAACGCACCCATCGTTAAAATGCGACTGAATCTGAAAAAAAAAGAAAGTCGCAATTTCAATTCTTTGTTTTTAATTTTTAGTGTAAGAAACTTTTCATCTATTTTTTCTGTTCTTTCTTTCAGATGTTCTTAACATCTCGTAAACAAAAATGCGTATTCGACTTTTAACAGATAATTTCTGGTCAATAGGCTTATTTTGTTCATTTGTGACCGGTTTTATTATTATTGTTTCTTGTTTAACAAAACGTCGTCGTCGATACTTTCATCTTCACCGTCTCGTTGACGACGTTCATCATTTATGGCCATTTGATGATTATCTTATCCAACCAACACTATGTAATGTGTGTTCATCGACATTATTAGCTGGTTTTCATTGTTCATCGTGTGGCATCTATTTGCATGAACGTTGTGTACGTCCTGCCCGACGACTTTATCATTGCAAACATATGACAAGTAACAAGCAAGAACAACATCAACATCAATGGACTCGTGGTAATTTACCATTAGAGTCCGAATGCGTCATCTGTCATCGGCCATGTGGAGCTGAACCACGACTATGCGATTACCGATGCATATGGTGTCAACGAATTGTGCATGAGTCATGTATGAGAGCATTATCGACTGACTGTGATCTCGGACAATTTCGTCAATTGATTATTCCGGTAATTTGAAAAAAGCTTCTGTGTCATTGGTCATGTACGAAAGATTCTCTTTAGCCGAATGCGGTGGTTTCTCGAACAGGAAATAAACAAATTGTTGGCTATGCTCATTCAGTTGTCGAGCGTATTTTACCGTGTGGAATTGAAGATTGGAGACCATTATTAGTCATTGGAAATCGTAAATCAGGTGGAGCTAATACTGATCTAGTCTTAAATTCGTTTCGAACTTACCTAAATTCGGTCCAGGTAAAACTACAACAACAAGAAATGAATATGAATTATTCATCATATTTGCATTTTTAGGTTATTGATATCTCAACCATTGCACCCACTTCAATTCTTGAATGGTGTAACTCTCTTCCAGATGTTGGCTTCTATATTCTCGTCTGTGGTGGTGATGGAACAGTGAATTGGATCCTCGAAAGTATTGAAAATACAACATCAGGCGTAAGTACTCAATGAGCCATGAATGAGTGATTTGTTTTTCTATTTCTTATTTAGTTAAAGCCAGCTGTCGGTATTCTTCCAATGGGTACAGGCAATGATTTAGCTCGTATTTTACAATGGGGCCACGGAGAAGACTCAGCCGTGGATGTTAGTCTCTTCCTGAAAAGATTAAATACTGCGAAAGTCGTTGCTCTCGATCGGTAAGATTCTTTTTCGATCAGTTATCTACTTATTATTTATTTTGAAACCAGATGGTCAGTAGACATATGTGCTACTGCACGACATTTTGGTGTGGCAACAGCAAGTGCACGTGTATGTATTTCGTTGTTTGATAATTTCAATTCTTATCTAGTTATCCAACTGTATAGAATATGCGTATGTCGAATTATTTCTCCGTTGGCTGCGATGCACTTGTTACTCTGAATTTTCATCGTCGTCGTGATAAAATCCCGGAATTTTTCGCCAGTCGCTTCGTGAACAAACTACATTATTTTCATTATGGCACGGTAGATACATTCTTAAGTATGTTTTCTTTCATATGCACAAGAACTGAACCAGTCATGTCCGTTTTTCTTTTGTGCAGAGGAATGTAAAGACTTACAAAACAATGTGATCGTATGTAGCCGAGGATTGTTTGCTGCATGAAAGAAGTTGAATTTGCATATTTTAGCTTGAAATGGATGGACGAGTCATTAACAATCTTCCAGCATTAGAAGGTATTTGTATACTGAATATTCCATCCTGGGGAGCTGGTGTTCGTGTTTGGGGTTCAGGAGATAATATTCCAGTACAACAGTAAGAAAGGAAAAAATGGCTTCAAGAGAAAAAAAATTCATTTCGTTCTATTTAGAATTGATGATGGTATGGTCGAAGTTTTTGGTATTTACAGTTCATTTCATATTGCGCAGATGCAAGTTGGCCTTGCCGACCCATTTCGTATTGGACAAGCCCGTCGGGTGAAAGTAGAGACGATTTTTCTTGACTGTTCATGTTCATTACAAGAGATTTCTATTTTAGCTAACACTCAAACGTCGTTTTCCGTGTCAATGCGACGGCGAACCATTTGAAGAAGGACCCTGTATTGTCGACATTCAACATTTTTCTCAAGCGAAAATGTTAATGAATGTTTCGAGCACCTAAAATGCATAGTTATCTCTTTGCACTTCTCTAATCTGTTCCGGTGATGCTTTTTACTTTGTATTCGCTCGCACATCTGACATATTTGAAGTTTCACTACCACTTAACATATTCAGTCTGATCCTTAATTTTCTTTCTATGTGTCTCAGATAGCCAACCTGTTGTGCGTACTTGTGTATCACAGACATAATCAAGAATTTTTATCATTATCAATTTTGTTTAATAATTTCGTTTTTCTTTCTTTGTGTGTGTGTGTGAGTGTGCGCTCTAAATATTGACATTTTCAATTTTTTTTTCTGTCTCAAAATAAAACAGTGAGTAAGTTCTATTGGATGGTATGCGACATGAAATTCGAGTGAGAAAAAAAATGGTATTGATAAAGGTGTGAAATTCATACACGTTCGTTGCAACCAGTCAGACAGCAAAGAAGAAAAGAAAGGAAAAAATGTGCTCTTGAGAATGTTACTCTGATTGCATTAAATCTACGATCATCGACATTGCCGTAGTTGAGACGCGACAAATAAATATTTGTTTTGGACGCAAAAAGTGCAACAAAACTCGGTTTCAAACAGGCAGAACGAAATGAAACAAATGGATGTCGAAAGAACTAAATCAGGTAGATTTTCGAGAGAATTTGTTCACGATACTTAAAGATTGAATATGGATTTTAGTATCGTTTTGGTGCTCAATTCGTGTTGCTGTTGCATTCGTCGGATTTCTCGGGATGGTTGCACATTATTCACAAAAGATAAGTGTTGGCATTGCACTTGTCTGTATGGTGAATCATTCTGCTATTGCAACTCCACAGAATTCTCTTTCGAAAACGTTGGCACCAACGAATCTCAATTGTCCAGTTTTGAGCAATGCTGCGAAGATTGTAGACACACAATATTGATTACATTCTCTCACCTAGTTCGTCTGTTTCTAGGAAGGTCCATATCCATGGTCAAAAAATATTCAAGGCATCGTCCTTGGTGGTTATTTTTGGGGGTATTTAATCACTGAGGTGCCTGGCGGATATCTTGCTGGACGTTACGGTGCTCGATTTATATTCGGCGGTGCGATGATTATTGCCGGTTTGTTCTCAGTAGTGATGCCATGGGGTGCAAGTATACATTGGGGTGTAATTTGGTTTTTACGATTGATTGTTGGTCTTGCACATGGAGTAATATGGCCAAGTATGGCTGTTATTATGTCACATTGGGCACCACCAAACGAGCGAGGCAAACTTGTTGGTTTCATGAATGCTGGTAGATGAAGTTTATGTAAAGTGATGTTTGAAAAGTGTTTATTTTTAGGTGCTCAGATTGGCAACGTAGTAACTTTATCCATAGGAGGTTTGATGTGCTCATGGGACTTTGCTGGCGGTTGGCCTTTGATCTATTATTCAACAGGCATTCTTGGTTTCGTTTGGGGTATCTTTTGGATAATCTTCTATGCTGATTCACCGCGTGATCAGCGTTGTATTAGCAATTCAGAAAAAGAGTATATTCTCCATGAGACACAACAACAATTATCAAATCATTCGAAGAATGAGTTTCAAGCACCATGGAAAGCAATTTTAACATCACCAGCTTGCTGGGCACTTTTTGCTGTGCATACGTGTAACAACTGGGGCACTTATACATTCTTAACATCAATACCAAAATATATGGCAGAAGTATTGAAATTCGATATTAAATCAGTAAGAAGAAAAGCGAAATAAATTGATTGAATTAATATCTTTTCGTTTAGAATGGTTTTCTTTCATCATTACCATATATCATGTTTTGGTTTAATATCAATCTGTCAGGTGCTATAGCAGATGCGCTTATTCGAAAGAAAAAATTAACACGAACACAAACACGAAAAGTATTCAATGTGCTAGGAAATCTCTTTCCGGCAATATTTGTTATTGGTTTAGCATTTATGACCTGTGAAATAAAATACGTTGCCGTAGCTCTCTTAACAATTGGAGTGACTTTTACGTGAGTAGAGTCATAATTGATTCTATTGTATTAATGATATCTTTCTCCATAAAAAATCTAGAGGTTGTTGCTATGGCGGAGGATTTATGCTTACAGCAAATGATATTGCTCCTGCCTATGCAGGAATTATTTTTGGTATTTCGAACACATTTGCTACACTACCTGGTATCCTTAGCCCATATGTAGTTGGCGCACTTACCGAACGGGTATGTATTTGTGATAGACAGTATGCTCTTGTCGTACGTGAAATATTTAGGATTCGAACAATTGGCGTTATGTTTTCTTTATTTGTGCAGTAATTTACGTAATTGGAATGGTTGTATTTCTGTTGATTGGCTCAGGTGATGTGCAGCCATGGGCAGTAAAAGATGCAGACAAGTCTACTATTCCCGAAGCAGTGCCTCTTGCTGGTAATGAGTCGAGTTTCCATTTCCGATTTATTTGTCTATTATGAATATTTTCTTTTAGAACCTGTACCTACTGCGTCATCAAAACCACTAGATGAACCATAGAAAACTCAATTTCTATCATTTTTCATTTTTATGATTAGTTTAAATCGTTTGTCATATGTGCTGTGGACACTGAAATTTTAGATGTAATAAAGCCTTCTTCCTGCGATTCTTAATAGGACTGTCATTGGATACATAATGTCTCGAATGTTTACTTAAAGAGTGCAGTGCTTCTTTCTTCAAGGACATGGATTGAAGATTTTTATCGCTGATTGCATTCGGAGGAACATACAGATTTTTTTCATTAGCTCGCGGCAAAATTGTTCGACAGGAATAGATTGATGGAACTTGCAAATCTAGTTTTCCGTTTGGCAGATTCATAGGAATAGCACTGTGTTGGTCGAATTGTTGAAGTTCGACACGCCACAGATCTTCGATCGCTATTTTCAATGTATATAATGCATGCTGGAATTCTTCATAGTGTGAAGCTTTTTGTTCACGATCCATTCGGCTTCTGTTCTTATGATAGTAAAAGATATATAGTGAAAATAAGCGAAGAAAAAAAAACGAGTTTTATAGTGCGCAAAAACTGCGATTCACTATGTAAACAAGAAATGAGACTAACTACATAGATCTCGTAAGTTCTTATAAATTGTGAGATAAACTAGTCAATTTAGGTAAATTTTCTTGATATTTCACCAAATTTCATTCGGGAATTACAAATTTGATGGTTAAATGAGAAGGGCGCACTGTTATCTTTGCCAATTCACGGAAATAACCCCTAGAGTTTAGGGATTACTTACCTACATATTACTGGAGGATGAGTCTAGGTAAGGTTCCAGAGATAGTATGGTCGACATAAAACTATGAAACAACCTGAACCACACTAACACCCTCATCCTCAATTTCGATCCTTTCTCTTACAGTTTTTATATCAGAGTGATCCGCCGATAATGCACGTTACAAAATGTCAAGAGCACGTTCGAAATAAGTAAGCGCTTTCGGATAGTCCTTGGTGCTGTAGTAGACCGTACCGATGTTGCTGTACGAAGTTGCCAGCGAAGGATGATTCGAAGGAAGAGTTTTTTCTTTGATCCCAAAATGCTTTTTCATAGTATTCTATAGCCATTTTGTAATCACCTTGATTATTTTTTAGGTAGTAAAGTTGATGATGATAGTGTGCTCTGTCATTCTTTTCCGATGTTTGTTCCAATAACAGGGCGTACAATTCTTCGGCTTTATCCAACTGTCCTATTTTGAGCAATAAGTTAAGTTACCCAAACATTTCCATCCGGTACTACCTTGAACTTCGCTTTCAATACGATCCGTTAACACATGCAGTTGTGGATCGTCATCAGCAGTCAACTGAAGTTGTAACTCATGATAAAGTTTATTCTTGTCACTCATTTGTCGAATTGTACCGGCTCGAAACATCGGTGTGAAGCTAGCACCATCGAGCTAGCACCATCAAACTAAGGATTTTCTGAAAACGAATTCCGGTCAATAAAACCGAGTTTATTCGATGCAGAATTTAATTCTGAGTCCAATGGTGACATTTTTATTCACCGGAAAACGTTCCGAGAAAAATTTTCTTTGATCTTTCTTTATCCTCGATACATGTATATGCATCATTTTTCGGCCGTCGGCACGCAATATCTCTGTCCAGAACGAATTCCGGTTCATGGAAAAGAGTCTATTCGACGCAGAATTTGATTCTGCATCGACTAGTGCCACTTTTATTCACCGGAAAACGTTCGGTATAGAGCTTACCTTGATTCTTATTTTTTCGCATATATATATACAATTTTTTTTTTTTAATTCGAAAAACTTTTTTCCGAACGTTTTCCGGTGAATAAAAGTGGCACTAGTCGATGCAGAATCAAATTCTGCGTCGAATAGACTCTTTTCCATGAACCGGAATTCGTTCTGGACAGAGATATTGCGTGCCGACGGCCGAAAAATGATGCATATACATGTATCGAGGATAAAGAAAGATCAAAGAAAATTTTTCTCGGAACGTTTTCCGGTGAATAAAAATGTCACCATTGGACTCAGAATTAAATTCTGCATCGAATAAACTCGGTTTTATTGACCGGAATTCGTTTTCAGAAAATCCTTAGTTTGATGGTGCTAGCTCGATGGTGCTAGCTTCACACCGATGCTCGAAACACGCTGTGCATGGAAAACAGGATCTCTGCTTCGTCCTTGAAATAACTAAAATCTCCAATCGATGTGAATGGAGTTGTAGCAATATTCGGATCGATTGTGATCACGAACAGGACACCTACCTTGTCGGGATCATCGAGAGTGCTGTAGATAAAGTCGAGAGATTTCTCTTGTTTGGTACTGGTGAATAAAAAGTTGTTGAAAGATAAAAGACCACCTACAGTTTTTTATAACTGGTCAAAATCTGTCTTGGATAGTCCCTGTTCACGGTAGACTAGGAAAGATTTTCGTTTGTAACTTCTGATCTATTCGTGGTATAGCCGCTGTATTTGTTTGTGTAAATCATTAAGAAAAAATCCCATGTTAATAATGACTTCGCCATCCAAAGTGCGAAGTGCTCGATTGAGCATTTGGTAGGTAAAACACTCGCGTGTATACCACCAAATGGCTTTGTCGGGACGATATTCACGTTCGAACTCACCTATGACCCTTTGCTCTGCGGAGTTGTCATGAAAACGCTGACGACAATAATTGGCCAGGTCTTTGATTGCTTGTTTGTCGTGCTCCATTTCGAGGAGAATTTTCTTAAACATTTGCGCGTACATAGCCAATGGATGTCCAATACGACTATATGGAACGTGTCCCGAGTTTCCTAGAGAACGAACAATTACAGTGAAGGTATTTGAATGCGATTAGAAAACTTCAAATGGAAAGAACGGCAATGATGTTTTAGGGTATAATAATAGGTTCAATAAGCGTTTACGAAAAAATCATCCGAACATATGGTCATGCATTGACTCTATTCGAATCGAAGAATTAGATCGTCGATTCGAAAAAAATTGAATTTCATTTTTAACAATGAATCATATCTGGCTTCCTATTGTAGTATAGAACTCGACGAATTTATATCATACGAACATTTTGATCATGAGGACATTTTTCGAAAGGCCCATATAATTCGAGGTCATTTTTAAAGAACTCTTGCGGCTGAGGAGACTTGATCGAGAGAACATTATTTAGAAGACGAACAGTCCTAAGGATATTGCTAAGGACATTTGGGACTGTTCGCAAAATTCTGAAGTTTTCGGCTATGAATTGATTTTCCAAAATAACCTTACTTTCGGATAACCATCTTCGTCTGGATGGAGTCAAAATAGTAAACATGGGAATGACTAGGCGTTTAATTGAGTGCCTTAGTGGAGATGAAACAAGTGAAGCTAAACTGATTTTTGATTTTAAATAGTCGGAAGAGGGTCGACGAATAAATATTGAGAAACAGTGTTGGTTTTGCCTACATGTTTGGACAAATGACTTCAATTCGAAGACGATTAGATTGACATCTAACGAGGGAACATATTTAGGTGATTAAGCGATTTAGATCCCATCTTTTGGTGATAGATAGACCTCAATGAGGTATGAAAAACCTCAAGAGGATTCGTGCCCTCGCGCCTTTATTTCAAAGATACTGAGTTCTCAGGATGTATACGAAAAGAGACTGAAATGAAGGATGATCGTTTTTATAGAACAGTAGAGTTTTCAGGTGAAAACTTTTTTCAGTTTTGTGCACTGCTTGTATAATCCACTCTGGGTTATGAGTTACATCATATCTTATTAATATCACGTCTACTCAATGTTCATTGACCCATGGAACTATCAGAATTCTTCACTTTACATCCAATATTGTTATACATCAGAAAAGTCCTCGCAAAGGAAAATCAGTGAAAATGATAGTTCACAAAAAAGTGATTAAAACATAGTGGTTTCTCACACCAGCTGCAGCAGATAAAAGGAGCCACATCGCATGAGTCTGCGGCACATACTGTCGTGTCGAAGGAAAAACAGACTTGAGCCACAGTTTTGAAGGGTCCTGGATGCTTGTCTGTATACCCACTGGCATACCAAGCGTACTCAATCATTGGACGAAAAACTTCTGAAGAGAGTTGGTTATGAGTGAGCGACATAAGACGAATAATATTATTCCGCTCGCTAATATTGATGTCAACTTGATCGAGCAGCACACGATCGTATAGTCGACGAGGGATCACCTTCATCTGTCTGTTAAAAAAGACATCTAATGGCTGAATTTGGTCTGTCGTTTTCTTCGGTATTTCGACTCTTGTGCACCCAGGAAGATGATCGTACAATCCCTTTCCGTATGTCTGACCACCCCAACAGTCCGAAATAAGTAGGAACTTTTTACGTTTTCCAAGCGATGGGAGGAGTACATTGTCGCGCCAATACTCAACCAAAGATGTTGAGAGTTTTCCAGAACTACTGCACGTGATCACTAGATTTGACGTCTTGAAAAGATGTGAACGAATATTCTCACTCATACGGCCGTTGGGCTCCTTCAAGCAAAGATAAAGTGGTGAGAGGAGCTGACCATCAAGTGTGATTGTTGGCTGCACTGTATAACTGTGAGTAGTGGCGTTTATGGAGCGAACAGTTCCAGTTGTAACTTTCTCTCCTTTGTGGCTTAATGTTCGATTAGAGTGCAACTCGAACTGGATTCCACTTTGATCGGTGTTAACAACTTCGTTGGCTTCGTATTGGGGCAAACGTTTGCGAACATCAGCTATGAACTGATCGGCCGAAGTTTTGATGATCGTTTTATCTTCTACCTGACGCTTCGTCACAATCTAAAAATAACAAATCATTTCAGTAAGTTTTTTCAAACGTTTTTGACGAAGTCAATGGTTGACGAAAGTGAAAAAGTCTGAAACTAGCAAAATCTCCTTTTTATCATCTGTTTTCAGAAGAAAGGTTTCTCTCACACATTCATAAAACTGACCAGCAATCTCTTACCTTGGTCACCTTGCGCGAGATGATATTGTGTTTGTTTTTAAAGGAGTGCAACCAGTAACTTGAAGCGACAAAGTTGTGTAACGATTCATCCATAGCCTTTTTAAGAGCCCATCGACGTAGATCAATATCGTGCACTGGAAGTGCATTCTCCCGAGCTCGTTCGAACATATCAAATACATAGTCATTGATTTTTTCGAGCTTTTGTTTCTTCGTTCCATGTTTTTCAAGATAATGGCGAAAGCGAGAGAGATAGCTTTGATGCGGAATACGTCGAAATTGATGTTTTACTGTCTCCCAGCGCCTCTTTCGTTTCCCAGTGTGAGGATTAATCTCGTCATAGAAGTTGATTGCCTTGGTCATATAATCAAGTGAAAATTGTTTGCACAGCTCCTTATCTTCATCATCATGATTCCAGTCGGGATCCCATGTTTCTTCATCTGTATCTTCGTCCTCGATATCGTCAATCAATTCGTCATCGACTAGTTCATGATCAAGGGTTGTTTCCACTTCAATGGAATGGGAGTGACTGTTAGTAATCGATTCCAGTACACCACACAACAACTCGGCTACTTCACATTCACGATTTGTAACGATTGAGGCGGCTGAGGCGAAGGACGACAGTGAGTTCGATGCTCGATCAGCGAAAATCTTTACCACATTTGCTGGATTGATCATTTCGAAATGGACGCACAAAAAATGATATCGGTTGCTTGTTTGTATGCCACTCGTATATCGTATACAATCGAATGAAGAAAAGAGTAACCTCGTGGTACAAATAAAAAATGAGAAAAAGAATAGAAGAAAAAAAGTAACTGATGAAGAGTAAAACCATCGAATACCAACGTCAAATAGTTATCAAGAAGACGTGATGGTACGCTGGTAAAGAACACGAAAAAGAAGATAACCGATAGACTGTCATCATTCTTTCCAGCAATCATTTTTCTGATGTATAACAATATTGGATGTAAAGTGAAGAATTCTGATAGTTCCATGGGTCAATGAACATTGAGTAGACGTGATATTAATAAGATATGATGTAACTCATAACCCAGAGTGGATTATACAAGCAGTGCACAAAACTGAAAAAAGTTTTCACCTGAAAACTCTACTGTTCTATAAAAACGATCATCCTTCATTTCAGTCTCTTTTCGTATACATCCTGAGAACTCAGTATCTTTGAAATAAAGGCGCGAGGGCACGAATCCTCTTGAGGTTTTTCATACCTCATTGAGGTCTATCTATCACCAAAAGATGGGATCTAAATCGCTTAATCACCTAAATATGTTCCCTCGTAAGCAAATAAGTGTTAAACAAATTGTAGTTTTGATTTTGAATAAACACACGGGAGGAGTTGTCGATTATGTTCTTATTTAATCGAGTGACAATAGAGTTTGGTATTTGTTCAACAATGTGTTAATGTAAACATAAAATATAATTAGAAAATCTTCCGTTTTCTATGCAGAAAATTATTCGAAACGAACTGAAATAGAAACTGCAACATTATTTTCTATTTCTTCTCTGCTTATAATTACAATGCCATTCAACAAAGTATCTAATTCCCTTCCACATTGCGGATGTGATTGAGGTTGAGTAGAATGATCGAGACCAATCTTGTCAAAGCCAACGTTTGGAAAATAAATTCTAATCGCCAGAAAAGTATTTGTTTTGAATCATTGCGAGAAATGCTATTAGTTTTAGTGAGTATTTCAACCTCTTTTCATGAAAATCATCGTCCTCACGGTGTATCGGAATGTTTTTGAAATCAAATGTTGTTAGTCACAGGAAAAATTTATCTATGATCGGATTCTATATTCTCTAACCTATGGGGAAAATATCCACATTTGAAACTTCATAAACATTATCTGTTGTTTTTTATCAACTTGTTCTCATTTTATTCCATATGTCCCGTGTAATCGTGAGATCTAACCTGGAAATCCTATTGAGTAAATAAACACATATCGAATTTGATTGATGGAAAGGACAATGACTGTGCAGATAAAATCATTCGTTCTCGAGATAATCATGAAGAGGAAAAAATCGAATCTTTTCAAAGAAATATTAATTAAAATGTCATCAAAAGCATTTAGATGATGACTGACCTCTATGTTTTCGAATGAAATGAACGAGATTTCTCAATAGATAAACAACATTGGAAAGTCTTGATACTATTCGCGTTCTTCTCGAATAACAAATACTCAACTTTTATCTTTTATGACAACAGAGTACGTAAGAAATCCTTGTTGTCATGGCCCGTGCAAAATATTCGAACAATTCTCGTCGTAAGGTGCATGGCTTTTTTCATTGAAAACGGTGATTATGTCAAGGAAAGATCTTTATTCAGTACAAGAAATGATGCAAAACAAATGACAGATGTTTTAAAAGCTCTTTAATTTGTTATTCATGGCCATGAGCCCAAATTAAATTTAACTTTCGAGGAATTTTCCATGGTATTGACGAGTTCTTTTAGCTCAATCAAACGAAATGATTTGGTTTGGTTTCATTGTTCTACACGCAAGGTTGAATGGGAGGTAAATTAATCTAATAAGAACAATTTTTCCAAGAGCGAATAGCGGATTTCGTACTCCCAGGATTTTCATGGTATTTCCAGTGTAGACTTTTTCATTGCCTCTGTCGCATATTCGTGTGTGCGCAACATAACGTTTTGGGATAATACGATGTATAATACGTTCAAAGGCGTTTCTTTAAAATCTCGTCCAGGTAAAGAAGGCCATATGGGACGAAATAAGTAATATTCTCTATGAAAATATTCGAATATACAATGTTTGTCAATGGGCTACATGGTTTGGACTACTTTCAAAAGAGTTTGCTTATTTCTCTGGCCATTCATGCCGGAAATGTCATGCTCGATTTCATCTGGCATCACTTAGGATAGTACTACTCTCTTTTATGATCCACAAATAAATCCTGATGTGATCGTGTTGGTAATTGTTCGAATCGAATGAAGAATATTTTATTTGACAATGTAGTCTTCAAAAATTTCGGTTCGCATCCACGAGGTGATAAATACTACGCATGTTCGAATGTCGAAGATATTGCAAAAGGTAGTACTCAACTAACACCACCTTGCTTCAAACATTGCCTGTCCTAAACCGTTCAGAAAAGTCTACAGAACATTGATGGACAAGCACTTAAGTTTCCAAAAGCGTGTTGATCGTGTGATTCAGATGGTTTATGAGGAATTTCTCTCAAATATCGTAAGAGGTCATGTGAGGACAAAATGTAATGTCTATATTGAAAGGATCGTTACATCAGATTCCTGACAGTATCAAACGAGTAAAAGATCAAATATTGGCCTCTGATCCGCGTTTACGCATGTATTTATTCAAAGAAGATGATCGAAGGTCAAAAAAAAAAGTTTAGAAATATCAAAATCACATATGAATGATGTTTTTTCGGAGTACCATCAGTTGAGTAGATGACGATCTCTAATCAATATGACCATTGTGTAGTATAGAACATGATTATCAGGCCTAAAAAAGTATGAGAGAGTAACTATAAAAAACTATTTACCCTATAAATTACTCCTCAACTTAAAATGATAGCGTACATTTATGTCGAAGACATTTACGAAGGAGAAAAACATGAATGATAGAATATGTATGTCGCCTCTTCAAAAATTAGTATTCACGGCCACGTATGAGACAGTTCGTTTCTCTCATCATCATTCGTATATGTTTATCATGTCCTTGACTGAGACTATGACATTTTGAAGTTGTTTCTATTCTAAAAGAATATCATTATAAGTGTTGTTGTATGTAGATCTTTCTTCTGTTCATGTTGTTACTCATATTTTCAGTGCATTTGCCATTGAAGCAACCTTTTCCCGGACTTCTTTATTTATTTATGAAAAAAAAATCGTCAATATACAGTACAGCATCAAAAATACATTTGCATATCACTTACGTCTATTTATTTGATTCAAAGGGGAATTTGAACGACTAATTGTCCCTCTTCATCTAGTTTTTTTGTCATTTGATCAGTTTTTGCACCGTCTGGTAGCGTTGTCAATCGATAGAATCGTGCGCGTTTCGACCGACCGTTTTCTTTACGTATATGTTCACCTTGAACAATTAGTTCACTGTCTTTTATTGAAGCGTCAATTTCTTCCAAAGGGCATTTTTTCACATCAATTGTCATTTCTAGTGCCTTGTTATTATCGAGATCGATAATACGTGGACAAAAGTCTGCATTCGCTAAACGCTTAATATAATCATCTAATGAATCAGATGGTGATTGTACTGAATCTTTGTCTTTGCACTTTTCTATTTTTTCGGAGCTATTTTTTGTTTTTTCGGAGCTATTTTCTGTTTTTTCGGAGCTATTTTCTTTTTGTGAATCACTATAAGGTACTTCGATCAGAAGAATGCTGTCGGACACCATTTTCGAAGTCATACGTGCCGCATCTATACATTGATAAGATTAACAAATGAACGATTCAAAAAAGCGTCCTACTAACCAGCTTGTTTGGGTAAACTATAGCAGTTTTTTACTTGCTGAACACTACAACCACAATATTGTTTTTGGTCACTTTGATTCGCTTCGACGGTTACTTTGCCATTTTCGGCTTTTACTTTCACATCCTTTTGATCGAATCCTGCAACATTCACACGAATACAGAACTTTTCTGGCTTCTTTTTAGCCGCTGGTGCTGGTGTTACCGGTGTGGGACATTTCTTGGTCTTTTCTGCACTGGCATTTGCTGATTTGTCTGTTTTTGTTGTTGATTTGTCTGTCTGTGATGATGACTTTTTATCAGCTGTTTTATTTGCCGATTTTGGAGGTTTACAACATCGATAGCCCATTGGTCGCATACAGCAGTCCGCTGAGCACGGATCCAAACAATCCCATATATCGCAACTATCCAGTTGGTCACATGAATCTTTGCAATCCGAAGGAGAAGATATTTTAAGGCACGCCATTATGGAGACAAATCAAATGAAAATGATATTCGATTCTGTTCCAAACACACAAATTTATACACACATGTGTACACATATACGATGATGTGTATTGAAAATACTGAAGTGTAACATTTTTCGCCTGTTGCGTCTTAATTTGCTATGCTAATTTGACTTTTTATATACCCAGGTCTCACAGTACGCTCATAATTTCTCGCACAGAAAACGAACCGTTAGTATACGAAGATAGCATTGTATATTAGCGTATTGTTACACCATACGGTTCAGTGTTTACGTAACGACTGATGCTGGACTTCATACCGTAACAACACGCTTATATAACATACTATCTTTATACACTGATGGTTTGTTCTCTGTACTAGAAACTACAGTGGTGTCGATGGATCTGGGACAGTCATAGATGGAGTTCCTATTACATACATACATACATACTGGCGCATCCCAATATAAAATACTAAAAGTCATGTTTACATAGACTGCATTTTAAGTTTGAGAATAATCATTACGCAGCTCATTGATTTTAGCCTGAGCTGTCTGTACTGATGTGCATACGTTTCTTCAAATCATGTTATCTTGAATATTCGAGAAATGTTCAAAAGAATATAAGGAATCATATTTTCTCATTGATTCCATATGACAAAAATTTCGAAAATGATGAATACACAAACGTGTCTACCATGCAACAGAACTGGAGTTCTTACATTTTCTGTGGCTATATCTATATTTCAGATGTCAATAATTCAAGTATTTGATTGCTTTGCTCTTTAACGTAAGGAAGTATTTCAATACCATTACATAATCAATTATGCTTGATTATAAAGTTCTCCACCAATATTTGCTTCTATATATTCAGGAGCGACATAATTCAGAAGTGTAGTCTCATCCTCACTCGTCCTAAATATCGCTATTAACACTACTATATTAGTGTGATTACGACTTAATTTGTAGCTTTATACGATCGTTAATGTGTTTCAATCAGTCAAGTAAATACTCTTTATTAAATGTTATAGACTTCCGAGCAACACAACTGTGTTTCTTCGTATACTTCATTCTGTTTACATAACGACTACTTTTACTGCTATTTCACAAAGTAAAGAGAACGTAACACGCCTAGTCACATACAACGAGCGTTATTTATTTGTAACAGGGGTGCAAATGTGAAAAAGAATAAGTTCTATCGGGGGTGCACCAGGAAAGAGAAAAACATTTGCAAAGCAAAATATCATAGGGGGTGCACCACTAAGCTATTGCTCACACAAGAATATGAAAGGGGTGCCACTGAAATTAATAATTCTTCATAGTAGACAAACTTTTATAAACAGAAAAATTGTTAAGAGAAAACGTCATTTGAGAATACATTCAACAACCAGCATTTTTGTAATTAGATAGCGTTTGAAGATATACCAAGGTAAGAACAAACGGCAAACGATGATTAGTAATCTTTATAGGTACGAGATTTTCTTTGGAAGCTTTAGAGCAGTTTGAAATTTGCATGTAAGTAAATAGAACGGCTCATTTAATACTAAAAATGTGAAAGTATACTACTCAAATATATTCAAATTTAGACGGCGTGTGCTTTTCATTTAAAGGGTATGTCAAAATTCAAAGTATGAAATCGTTTCAACCTCAAAACAGAAAACGAACTCATGCATAGACAGCACGTTAGAACTGAGTCACCCCTTCAGAGTGTTTTGATATTCTTTTATCGGTTCTTTTCTTATTTCAATATCAATGTGCTTCTCAAAAGATAAAAACAATTCCATCAATTTTTTTTCTTTCTCTAAAAGAAAACGCATTCAACCTTTGTCTAACACATATATATTAGCATGCGATAGGAGCAATCGTATTTATAATTTAAAAATTTATTTCAGACGGGTATTCAACAATGAGAGGAAAATCTAATGAGCATGTCACTCATAGTTCATCAGCCGCCACACCAACACACCATAATTCTACTCGATGTTATTCCACCAAGACATTTCGTCTCTTGACTATGCTTTCACTCACATTTTCCTTTTTTTTCATCGAACTTATTGTTGGCAACATTACCAATTCATTAGCATTGGTAGCCGATGCTTTCCACATGCTTTCCGATGTCGTCTCACTTTTCATCGGTTTATTTGCTGTACGGATAGCCAAAAGACGTTCCGATATTAACACCTACGGATGGGTACGTGCTGAAGTCGTTGGTGCCAATATCAACACTGTCTTCTTGCTGGCTCTTTGTTTAACGATCATCTTTGATGCCATCAAACGATATATTCAACCAGAACCTATCGAGAATCCTACTCTACTCCTCATTGTTGGATCGGTGGGTCTTGGAATTAATATCATTGGCCTGTTTCTATTCCAAGGTTTTCATGGTCATTCACATGGTGGTGGTAGCGATGTTCATGAGGCACATGGACACAGTCATCATACGCCTCACAAATCAAAGCTACGAAAACAATCCAATAGAACTTCGGAAACCAATACAAATACCCATATGTCAAAAAGTGATGACAACTTCGAACCTGTCGAAGCTGTTGTCACTTCCTCTGACTTCAGAAGACACAGCCTTCGAGCTCTCGACGAGGTAACACTCCTACACTTTTCTCATCATTGCATAATCATTCCTATCTCCTCTAGGTTATTGTCGACTGCATTTCTCATCCTCCTTCACCATCATCCACACAGACCCATTCTCCAACACAACCCAACAAAAAAGCAAAAAAGTCTTCCATGAATATGCATGGTGTGTTTCTCCATGTCCTAGCCGATGCTCTCGGCTCAGTCGCCGTCATCATCAGTTCGCTCATCATCAAGTTCGTACCTCACAATCCCGACGACACCAAACATTGGACAGTCTATGTCGATCCAACCTTATCTGTCATCATTGTTATCATCATCACTGTCTCCGCTATTCCACTACTGAAAGAAACAACCCATGTTCTTCTTCAAACTGTTCCCAAAGAGCTACAAGTATCAACGCTCAAGAAACAATTACTAGAGAATGTGTCCGAAGTGGATGGTATTCATGATTTACATGTATGGCGATTGACTAGTAATGCGATTGTTGCCACTGCTCATCTACATCGTCGCTCATTCTCAGACTATATGACTGTGGCTGACAAAGTCAAGCGATTCTTTCATGATGCCGGTATTCACTCGACCACGATTCAATATGAGTACTGGAATGATGAAGAACATGATAGATTGATGAAGAAGAATGAAAATGGTGAAGAAATGAAAGCGAGTTGCTTACTGAGTTGTCCTGATGAAGTTTGTGAAACGAAAACATGTTGCACGAAAGATTCAATACGTAGCAATGCGGTATATAGCGTGGTTAATATGAATCAAACGCGCGTAGACGCAAATAGTCCAAGTGCAACATATATCAGAATGGAGAATGAACCGTTGTGTTGTGAACAAGAAGAAAAAGATCGATTAATGGAAGCTGAAACAGTGTGA